CAACAACAACAAGCAACAACAACAAGCAACAACAACAACAAACAATACGGCAATTGCTATTTCCGCTTATTATGCGTGTGAAGGGAACGGAATTAATTTTTCCGTCCTTTTTTCACTTTTTCCTTCTCATTTTTCATTATCAGGTAGGTACTGCACTATCATTTTATATGTACTATTGAATAAGTACTAATTAGTAAGATAACAGAAATATACTTTGTATCTCTATTACAAGTAGTAATACCTTTGATCATTCTCTTTTATAGTTATAAGTTGAGATATTATTGACAAAAAAATATAATTTTATTTTATATTTTCAAAATTATTACTGATTGGATAAACATTCTAATAAGTCAAATTAAATATATTATTTTAGATATTTTTCATCTTTGGAGTATTATATCTCTTTCTGTATCTCTTTCTCTTTCTCATTCCTTCAAAATGATCTCTTTTTTTTTCTAAATAAAATCTTTCAATATTTGCAATAGTAATTTTGCTTCAATATTTTTATAATCTTATTTGTCTGAGTTTAATTCAATAATGTTTATTTTCATTGTTTAATTGGAAAAATGAAGATCAGTATGAAAAAAGTATAAGTGATGGATTTTAAAGTTAAATTTAATTTTATATAATTGAACATTACAGTTATAACGAAAAAAGTTTGTTGAAATTTGAAAAAAATCTATTTAAACTTTACTTTCTATCATAAATTAGTCGTTAGTATTCTTAATATATTCAATATTTAAAAATATTGCTTACATTTTATGCAAAAAGAGGCAACAATCAAATTTTTCTGCCATTTTTTTCCTTTACCAAAACTCTTCAAAAAAAAAAAAAATTTGCAATTTTTGACATTAGAAATTTTATCATTTCATTTATGTTCTCCCTTTTTAAATTAAAGTTTAATTTTAAGAATTTGAAGATCACTCATTAATATTGAAAAATCAATTTTCATGTTCACTAAAAAGGTTCTGAATGCACGTCGGAGTACACCTTTGCAGATGGAACATATTTCCGGTGATGCGACGAATGCATCATAGTTCCGGTGCGGAATCATTAAATGTCAAGGTGATTCTAAAAATGCCGTTAAATTGAGAAGTAACTTTCTCTGACCATATATGACTTTTTAAACTTTAGCTGATTAATAAACAACACTTATTTTAACAATATTTTATGAGACAAAAACTCTTTTTTTTTTCTAATGTTGAAAATTTATTACTTTTTGGTGTATGATGATACTATCTAACATTTTATTGCTTTTAAATTTACTTTATTTTCATTTTATTTAAAGTTTCAAATGTTTTCTTTTCTTTTTAACAATTCATTTCCAATACAAATGACTTATTTGTATTATTTCAAAATATCACCATACTGATTTTTAAATATCATCATATTAATACTAATCAATCTTTCCTTTATCATTGATAAGTCATCATTATCGTGCAATTTTTCTCAATAAAACAATTTGCCCGATTTATTAGTGTAATATTACATTCTTGAAATATGATGCTTTCAAGCGTGACAAGTGCTATGAAGAGTTATGATAAGACAAAGTGACCTCTGATCTCAAAATTATTTCAATTACAAGAAAAAAACGAAACAATGCAGATGACCTTGAGGTATACTCCTTGGTCGTCTTATTTGTTTTAGACCTTGAATTCAAAAACCTATTTCTTTTTTCTCTCCAATTATATTTTTGTCTTCAGTTTTTTCTTTTAATTAAATGAGTTCAAAATTATTTGTAATTGTTGGATAACTGTATTGTAATTTTATTTAAGCTAAGCACTTGTAACATAATATTAATTGTTGCGGTATCAGAATAATAATCATAGACTGAATTAAGACTTCCTTCAATTAATGCGCAAATTATTTATAAATTACTTGACAACTATAAAACTATTAATAAGTTATCATCAGTTAATTTAAATTACATATAATTATTAACTTACTATGATACAGATAAATTGAAATTTTTCAATTCACTTTTTTCCACTTATTTCATAGAAATTTTCGGTAAAAACATTCGTTTAATTATTAATTATCATACTATTGAAATATTAATATTATGAAGTAGTTCATGGTACAAACAGTAAGCTTCTGAAGTTCACAAATAATTAAATAAATTAGCAAATTTAAACAGGAAACAATAAAATGTTAACATAATGAACAGAAAATAGTGAAAGTTGTAAGAAAGTAAAAATGTCACAAACAAACAAATGTACTTTTTTGATTAAAAATGAAAATTATCAATTGCAGTTAACAGAAGCAACAACAGCGCCATTTCTTTCAACGGAAGAATTACGTTATACATTCGGTGTACAAACATTTTCTGATGGTATCTTAATTTTACTAATCAATTACTTATTCAAATTTAATATTAATAATAGCATTATGGATCAAATATTTCAGTATAAAAAATTTTAATAATAATTTTTACAATTAACTTATAAAATACTCTAGTTTACTATTTATGTTTTTTTTTTTTAATTCGAGAATGATAGAAAACTTTTCATTTAATTGCATAATCTTTCACGATATATTCCATTTTCTATTAAAAAATGTGATAAGAAAAAATGTCTGTAGACTTTTTGATAATAAATAAATTACAGTTGAAGGTCAGATAGACGAAATATCAATTATTTCTTTAATTTTAACAACAATTAGAACACTTTTCTAATTAACTGATAACAGCATTAAAGCAGAAATTATTGCATTTATTAGCGATTTGTGATGGAACCAAATTTGAAATTCACATTTCCAATTTTGCCGAGAAAATTGGAGAGATTTTCTTCTTTTTTTTTGATATTAAAACTTTAACAAATATTTTTACGCTTATTTGAAATACGGTGTGTAATAAAAAAAAAAGCTGTTGATCCAATCAATTGCCATATAAAGTAATGGAAGATAATTGTTAAGAAATGATAAAGATAGGCTTCTTTCAATTGCTGAATATTAATGCACATGCTCAAATAAAATTCAGGCCTTCCATCCCAATAAACATTGCGCAATTTGACTTAAAGAATGTTCATTAATTAAACTGTAAATTAAAATATATTTTAATTAAAATTATCTGAGAGAGATATTTTCGGACATTTTTCAAAAAAGTGGTACGATGTTTGATGTTAAAATACTGTAACACCTTTATTGCCCCAGTTGTGAGGAAATGAAAAGAGTGAGGAAAAAAGAGAGAGAGAGAAAGTAAATTAGATTGAAAATTAGATTATCGATTTAATTTTCATGTTAGTTTTTATTAAATGCTATCCAATGTTTAAAATATATAACAATTATTTTCATTATTATTATCATTAATAACAACAAAAATAATTGTTATATATTTTAAATTTTTTTAAAATTATCATTGTTAAAGAAAACTTTTTAAATCATCATTATTATTAGTATTATTATCAATAATTATGCTCCTTTATCCAATGCTAATGTATTTACAGTACCCCAGCATAGTGAACTCTATCCGGAAACGGAATATTCCGAAGATGGTGAATTAAAATTACTTCGCGTGATCATTCACGAGAAGCAAATAAATTTGACGTTAGAGCCAACCATTCAATTGCTTGTATCACCATACATGAAGACAATTTTTCGGGATGCACACGGTGGTGCAAGGTTGAATATTGGCCAAGCACCGAGCAGCTGCCATTATCATCACAAATCAGAGGAAGTATATGCAGCTATCAGTAATTGTGATAGAAATCTTGTCAGTGCTTAATTATACTATATAATATTTACATAATTAAAATCATTATTTATTCATCTATTCATTATGAGATATTTATTTTTTAAAACGAATAGGTGTTGAAAGATATGAAAATTTTTTGGTGTTTAATTAGTATTACTTTACTTAGTTCTTTGACTTGTGGAAAAAAATGGAAAGGATAAAATTTGCAAAAAATTACACTAATATAGGTGGAAAGAAGTAATAGAATATAATGGTCAAGAAAGCATAGCTAAGGTGATGGTTAAGGAAGCATAGTAAGATAATGATCAAAAATGCATAGATAAGCTAATGAGCAAAAAAGCATAATTAAAGTCATAGATAAGATAGTTAAGAAAAATTTTCTGAAAATCTTCAAAAAAAAAAAAAATAGCAAAACCTGGTCATTCTTTGTTTTTTTTTTCTTTTCCTAAAAAAAAGGTGAAAACAAAAAAAAAAAAAATTTTCTGTTGTGCGAATCGATTCATTACACAATCTATCACTTCCTGTTCTTACAAAGTTTTTGATGAATGTGTGGTACGTCGAAGTGAATTAATTACAAAAAATATATATATTGCATAAAATTTATCAATTAAGAAATAACGGAAAAATCAAAGTTTAATTAATAAAAATGTTAGATCAAATTAATTTGCTTTCTTTTATTTTGAAAGGAATAATTTTCATCCCTCAGAAATAAATTGTAAATCAGATGGTAAATTTTTATTTTCATGAAAGAAAAAATGTATGCAAAAATTTTTCTTAAAATTTAAACAACTGATGATGGATTTTTTTTTGCATTTTTCAAATTGTTTCAAAATATAAACATTCAAAAAAATTAAAAAACAAAATTATTATTCGAAATATTAAATAATCATTTTTTTTTTTAGAAAGGTATAATTGTGGTGCCCGATGAAATTTACGTACTACATCCCTTACCCGATCGTCATGCTCATCGATTTGATCAGAATAACCGGAACGGTATTCTTTGTAAATTTTTTCAAGGACTATTCCATTAAACCTTCAAATTATTGCCAATTTTATTTTATTTTAAAAGTAATTTTATAAAGTATTAATTAAAATGAAAAGGTAGGGATGTGTGCAATTTTGATATAGCTTATTAGCAAATAGCAAATTAAATATTGTTTGCTTCCTCAAATATAACCAAAATATTAAATCTCTTACAAAAACCAAAAAAAAAAAAGTTGGAATTTAGACAGCGATCCTGGATTACATGTAATTTACAAACGTGAAGTGATGCGAAAAGAATTTTGTGGTCTCGAATCAACAATTACATCAACTGAACTTAACGAAAATGAAAATGAAGTGAATGAAGATGTTGTTGCTGTTGGACAGCGTCTAAGCGAAGAAGGCAAACTCATTGTTAGCAAATATTATTTGTTTTTTGAAAAAGAAAAAAAAAATTATTTCAATAATATCTAAATAATTAATAGTTGATCATTTTAATAGATATAGCATAAATTTTGCTCACTACAATATTACATTTAAATTTCATAAATTTTAATAGGTATCGATTAGCATACCAAAACATTACACTTTGATATTTTTCCATTTTCTTTTAATATTAAATTCTTTGTTTGCTGACAGCATTTTTCTGCATTTGTTTAACAAAAAAAAAAAGAAAATCTTTCTTTTTTAAATGATTCAAAAAGTAGCAAAATACGAGATAAGTTTGAATTGATGGATGAATTAATTTCCAAAATGTTAATCACTTCAAATTTTTAATATTTTTAAGATGAAAGCATGAATTCAATTTATTATATTCATTTCAAAGTTGCAAACTTTTTAATTATGAGGGATAAATTAATTAACAGTGTGAGACGAGAATGGTTGAAATATTTTTGAAATAAACTCGATTGGGTGCGAAAAATACCATTAGTTGTTTTACTGCTATTGATTACTAATTACTTTCATAGCATTTAATTAATGATATTTTTATCGGTGAAAAAAACAATCATTACTACTACATTGATAATTGTTATTACTAATGCAACAATTTCCATGCTTTATTTTTCAATGGAAATATTTCGTTTAAAATGCTTCTCATTTAATTGCTGATCCCATGTAGTTTGATGATACTTTTTGTCAATAATTCTATCAAACAAAATTTAATCAAAAATGAATTATTGAATATGATAGGCAAAATTTGTAATGTCATTAAAAAAGAAGCGTGGGTGTAATTTGGGAAGAACTGGAATGTTGAATAAATTTAATGCCACATAAATAAGTATTTATATGAGTGATGAATTTGAATCGTACTAAATTATCAGGAAAAAAGAAAAAACGAAGCCTCAAAAAAAAATGCTTCTTTCACTTGGAAAATTTAACATTAAAAATGAATGAAAATATTGCAAAAACAAATTATATTTTATTTAACAACCAATCATCAAGTTTAATGAAAAGCGCAATTGCATTTTGAAAATATATTCGTTGAAAGGTTATTCAAAAAAAAAAAAGAATGCTATCAGCCAATTTAATACAATTAACATTAATGGAATTTGTAATGGTCGTTTTTGAGAGTAGAAAATGTAAAATTATGTAAAATGTAAGTTAAAGAATTTCAATAAAATAGAAATGAAAAAATTTTTCTTTGAAATTATTATTTGCTTTATTTTTTTTTTTAATTTTTTGTAATCTTAACAAATATCATCCGCGAAAAAACTTTGTGAAGTTCAAATAGTTTGAATTTACAAAAAAAATTTTAGCGTACTTAAAAACGGATAATCCTTTATGTTATTTCATATCATTTATACATTTTGAAGGTTATATTTAAGGTTTAATTTTTCAATAGAATTAGCAATATTTGTAGCAACCTATTTTAAGTTTAATTTTCATTAAATTTTTTTTTTTTGCTTTTGTTTTTGTAAATTTCAATTTTGAAAGTTTGATTTTTCAGGTGGAATTAGCAATATTTGTGGATGAAATGTTATGGAAACTTTTTACTAGTAAATATGGTATTGATGCAAATAATAAGCTACAAGATTATGCTTTAACAATGCTTAATAATGTACAAATTATGTACCATCAACCGAATGCCATTCCACAGCTATCATTTCATGTTGTCAGATTCGAAGTGCTTGCCACTCAACCGGTATCGTTTTTTTTTTTCTTCTTCCACTTTTTTCAACTTTTCAGGTTTTTCTTATCTTGCGTACAAAATTGATTGTATTTTAAATGTTCCTTACAAATTTTTTAGCATTAATGATTGATTGTTAGAGTAAATTAATTGATAACTTTGTGAGAAAAAAAAAAGAAAGATTTGAAAGATTAAATGAAATAAGCCATTTTTTTTCTGCAAAAAAATAAAAAAAAATTCTCAAAATATTAATTTCATTATAACTCTCAAAGTGTAATAAAAGTTTCTTCATTGTAGGAGCGGTGCAGAAAAAAAAAATCAATAGAAAGTGGAAATATGTTAAGGAAAAAATAACTGCTACTTTTAGTTGATGAATTTTTAAATAATCATTTAAACATTTGAATTGTTTTGACTTTTATTCATAATAAATTGTTGAGAGCTCAAAAAAAAAGATAGAAAGTATTTATGAAGTGAGAAAAAAAAATTGAAAAGTTTCAAATTAGTATGAAGAGTAAAGGGAATAGACAGATATTAGATGAAGTAAAATGGAAGATGAATTCTTTTAGTATTGACGAGAAGATCGCAATTATTTTGTTAAATGCAAATAAATCAAGATTAATTTCCACCTTTTTCCATTAATTTATCAATAATTATCAATTAATTAAGCCCAATTAGTTCTCGAATTTTCAACTTTATAAAAGCATTAAAATTAATCAAATTTTGACTGGTCATAAGAAAGCAAAAAATACGATTTTACATCAGATATGAATAAATTTCAGAGTGCTATGGCAGCTCATTTGCATAATAACGGACATGCGCAAAAATACTTGGATCGATTTTGTAAGTACCAGCGAAATTTAGGCTCACGTGATTGGGATCATGCATTAATGCTTACAGGGTTCATCCTTTATTTACGTGCTTAATTATTGTGTACTTTTTTGTTTGTGTAATGTTCTCAAAGTATTGCATATAAAAATGTAAACGAAATTTAATTAAATGCACAAATTAAAATAAATCAAATATAAATTTTCAGGAATTAAGTCACATTAAATTTACATGAAATGAGATAAACACCATTTTAAGTTCGATCTATTGATAGTCTTGTGAATGTAATTGAAATGAATTTAAATATCGAAATATATTATATAGTGCTGATTTTATTTTTAGATACGATATTCATCGTGGTACCGGATCACGATCTATAAGCGGTATTGCCCGATTAGATGGTATGTGCGATCCATGGAATACCTGCACATTAGCTGAAGGACTTGATTTTACATCAGCATTTATTGGAACTCATGAACTTGGCCATAGGTAAGTATATTTATAAAATTTTCTTTTTTTTTGTATACATTATATATTTAATTATATTTTATTAGCAATGAAATAAATTTAAATATTGATTGCAGCGTTGGAATGCGTCATGATGAGCCATATTGTCCAGCAAAGCATATTATGAGTTCATCATTAGGCCCAGGAAAAGTAACTTGGTCAATTTGTAGCTTACGCGATTATCACACATTCTTACAACGTCTCGAGTAGGTACCATTATAAAATTTATTTCATTATATTTTGAGCCTATAGATTATGTATGATATTTTAGAGTATATGATAATTATTTTTATCTGTTTTAAAATTTCAATCAATTTTTTAGCAGTGGTGGTAGGAATTGTTTACGAGTGTCAAATTTACCACAAAAATTAACAATGCGTACAGATTTAAAGCCTGGACAAGTTTACAATGCCGATATGCAATGTCGTATAATGCATGGTGAAGGATATCGACAGGTAGAATTATATTAGAATTATTTAGAAGTAGAATTATATTATTTTTTTATTATCATTGATGATAAAACTTTATCAATATCATTGATAATAACAATTCTCTACTTTTAATTCATTATTATGATTATCATCAAGGTTTTTTTTTTTAAAAAAAATGCATTCAATATTTTAAAGTATGATTTTAAGACGCATTCAACGAATTAATCTAACCATAACTATATATATCATGATAATGATATCATCTTAGGCTATAGTATTTCATGATAATATATCGATCAGTCATTTCTTTTTTTTTGTATTTGTATTATTTTTATCAAAAGTAAAACTTAGGAAATATTCGAGATATAAATGTTACCCTATTATACCTGTCTAATTTAATGAAAATTTCGATCCTGATAAGCAGTATATCATTTATATGGTGTTTGAATTTAATTAAATTCCATTTCTAATTGAGTAAAAATTTAAAATGCATTCAATAGATTAATCCAACTATTACTCCATCATTGTTTTCTTAATTGATATGAAAAATAGCCTTATTTTATTATTAAATTTTTGCAGCAAACTAAATTATTTGCATTTATATTTTTTATTTTTTTGTAATTAACAAATGTAAAATAAAACAACAGTTATTTTTATTCTAATCAATGTGATTTATTAATTTATTCGTAATTTTTTTAATATGCAAATAATATTGAAAACTTATCATTAAGATATTTGCTGAGAACAAACTTTCCAAAGGCATTAGTTTAAATTATTTTCTATCAAATTTGTCCTTCAACTATTATAAATTAAAAATCGTTCAATATTGTGAATTATACTTTCAATATGTCAATATTATGAATTATATTCAAGTTGTTTTACTTTTCTCTAATTATAGAAATTTTTGTTTTTTCTTTTGAGTTTTCTAGTCTTTTATATGAACGAATTTAAATGACTTTTAAATCACTGTAATAATTTCAAAAAAATAGAACATTCAGAAAATATTAAATTAAATTGCAAAAATGGCTAGTCTTGCTTTTGCAATCGATATTTGGTCATGACTTGACCAAGTTCAATTTTTTAAAAAGCATCAAATAATAGAAAAGTTTTATGGATGAAATTTCCTAATTAAAATTCAAAAGAAAAAATTATTTTAAAAACAACTCCTTTTAGAGATGTTCAAAAGTTAAAATTTTTTAATTCAATTCTTCATCTCTAATATGTAGATAGCGATCTCTTTCGCTTTCAAACAGAAAAAAATGATGAAATTTTTTTTTTT